ATTGAAACCATTACGTTGATATCAGAAATCTTCTGGACTATGGTACATGTCCGTCGCCGCGTGTTTAAGAAAAGGGTTTTCAACCTGGGCATGCTGTGCGCTTGCGGCGATCGAAAGATCCAAAGGCTACGAAAGGCTCTTCCTCTTACACTCTTTTCTCCAATCGAAAGTGATTCAAACTTGCATCAAAAACAGTAGCGACGGAGTAGAATCCCTTTTCCCGTGCTTCTTTCCAAAACTTTACCAACCTGTCGTATTCGAGACCAATATGTACCTCCCAGTGACGTCATGAAGACCGAAGGAGCTCCAAAGTCATCCAAAATGTCGTCATGTGCTTCTCGAGAGTGCGCAGCCGCTAGTACGATATTTAAACCGCAATTGAGTCTACCCAGTTGCTTCTTTCCTTCAACACCACCGCGCTGCTTTGCATACTAAACATTCAATTATTCTATTTATGTGTTTGTGCGAGGCCGTTTCGTCAAAAGCGGAATCTTCGGTCGCATGTGTTCAAAACCACCCAGCGTAGCGACATTCTCTCCACCTGTCTATTCCAAAGTTCTGAACTACTTTTCATGTGTTTTGGAGCACTCAGTCGCGAGATCACCTTAGCTTGGAGTATAAGGCGCTTCTTGCGGCTGTTTCTACCTCTTCTTTCTTGTATCAATTCCGTTCTCGTCATTCAACAAAAGAAAATCAAGGACCAGCTCATGCATGCTTCTGCGTCGCTCTTCTCAAAAAGATCGGTATGAAGTCAAACATCTCGACCAGAAAAGGAACAATGGACATTATCATGGTATCTGCCTGGCAAGACCAGAAATTTACGATCTGAAAAATAAATGGGCTTTGTAAACTCTCTGCAGTGCTACAAAACAAGTGCTGTGCATTCTGTCTTTTCTCTCTTCTTCCGACTACCACACTCAGTTGCACCAAAACTCGAAAATGCGAACAACTACATCCATGATTCGGCGACTCGATCCATTGCAAAAGATCGAGATAAAGGCGGCATGTCTCAAAACAACAATCTACGCTTTGCATGGCTCCTCCGCGTCGCCAGAAACGAAAACTTGGCATTCACATCGGTAGTACAAAATTTGCACACTTGGATATCTGTGCGGTTGAATGTGACCGATAGAAACTCATGCAGCATCATTTTGATGGCTGTGGGCCTCGAGTGCTGCGTACAAAGCCAGCCTTTGGCGGCTTTATCTCCATTTCCTTTACTTCGCTATCGAAGAGCAGTGTTCTCCAAAACCATTCAACGTCACTGCATGTCTGTCGGCCTCCTCCTCCTGGTTCTATAAAACATGAGTATATACATTCCGATGTAGCGGGCCCACTCGTCCAAAATCAACTGTTCAGCTTGGATATCACGACGACAGGCTTCGATGGGGCGACCAAAACGATACTATCAACGACTTACGACCAAAAGTTAAGCAAAATGAAAAGATGAACTCGGGCGGCGAGTCCACTGTCGACATGTGACGCATCCGGCGGTCTGGGGTACTTAAACCTCCCTCCTCCTGTCGAGTTCTTGCTTCCTATCTACAACTGTCGCATTGTGCGACCAAAAAGTCTGGTCTTCGCCCGGATGTCTCCGCCTGGCTTCTTTCTCGCGATAAAAATGCACAACGGGATCTTACATGTCTTTGCCTCTCTTCCTCCTCCCATATATCCCCGTGATATGTTCCAAAACAATCCAAACACCCCAAGATGTTCCGCGAGGTCGAAAGTGGGCGAAGAAGACACCAAGAAGAACGACAAAACGGCCGATGGTAAGGGTTGAGCGTGATCAAGCTACATGATTTTGAAAGAGAGTCGCGGTGCTACTACTTCACTACCTCCTTCATGCCTTGGTCTCGTTGGGTGGAAGCGACCTGCTAGGTGTGGGCGGTCACGCAGAGTCATGCGTACGTCTTTTGCGATGTTGATGACGAAACTAAAACGAAGTTGATGTGATGTGATCCGCCGAGCTACAGTTGTATAGGACCTGCTTTATTTCCTGTATTTCTATCATGGATCTTTGCAAAGTGTTTCTCCACCCAACGCTATGTATGTAGCCTCGAGGAGGTGATGAAAAGTTCATAGCGGAGAATGAAAGAGGCCATGTCGTCGGCAGTCTCATATCGCAGAACTGAGGTCGTATCTATATGATCGTAACCGTGTATTTCCCCTTCTCATCGACCGATCCGTACTCCAACCATGACTCATTCTTGAAGCTATCAAGCTGATTCCAGTCGACAGGTTCCTTCTCACGAAATAGCGTGCGAAACATACCCACCCTTCGAAACTTGCCGCATGTGTCTCGCGTAGGTACAAGTAAAAGAGCACACAAGTAGCCGAGATCGTCGATGAAGAGCGGCATGCAATGCAACTGGAACAAGGGCGGCCGGCGATCAAAGTAAAAGTCATGACTACTCATGCTATTCCATTTTCCGTCACAGTGAATGTCGAAGTTTTTGTCGATTCCGAAAGTTGGGTGAAGCTCCATCGTTGTCAGATAACCGCATAGCTGCATAGTAGCGCCGGTGACGGCACCTGTTCGGTCTCCTGTCGCAGACTGAACTTCCCAACGGATGACGTCGACCAAGCATTGGCCTTCCGCCTGGAAGTACCCATACCACCATATGTGAAGATCTGTGCATGCCCATGACCATGAAGGTGCACGGTAGTGAATAGGATCTGCCTCCATTTGGAATATGTAATCCCTTTCACTCTTCTTAGGAGCATACCAAGCCAATCCTTGAACAATGTCATGTCCCCAAAGGCCTGCACAGTACTCTATGTCGAGAAGCTGCTCCATATGCTTTGCGATTCCCGACAGTGCAATCAACTTGTCGCTGCCGAAAGTCAGGTTGCATTGACTATACTCCGCTGTAATCTTTCTCCACAGGCTCCGGAATGAAGTCATGTTAAGCGTAGCGTTCTTATCCGTAGATATATGTGTAAGCTCCTTGCCATCAGTGTACTTTGAGCCAAAGATCTCGATACCTGCAGGATATCTTGTGGATTTCAGCGAATGCTGTATCTCCATGCGACTTGGCAGCCCCGTTGGCCATGTCTCACAGGCTTTCAAGCCGTGACACTCCCAGAACATCTGGGTACCGCAGAAATGTAGGATTCTGGGAGCCAATACTATTTCTTGAAAGACCCATGCGCGTGAATTTAAAGGCATACGCTCAAAATTCTCAAACCAATAGGCTTTGTTGTAAACATGGTAAGTGCCATTCGGATGATCGGTCCACGTAGTCTGAACGACGTAAGGTTTAATAGTCGAAGCTCTTTCACGGAAAAAGCCGGCATCGCTATCGACGGCTATACTGGCAGTGATGTTGAGGAAGCTGTTGCGATACACTTGACTCATGAGACCAGCTTCTTGTGCCCAATCTTCTTTGGAGTCTTGGAAGATGCAGAACGAGTCTATCCATAACAGCTTCATGCCAAGAGATTGCGCAGTGGATATAGCATGCTGAAATGTCTTTGCCAAGTCAGTGACTGACATGCCATCCCTGAAGCGTTCGAATGATTCCGATGTCAACCTAAGTGTTTTGGATTTCCCCCAGCAATGGCTAAGTGTTGCATATTGTGAAGCAGTGCTGTCCAGCTCGGAGGACAGCCGAAGGCGTACTTTGCCGGCTTCTGGGGAGCCGAGTTCGAGGAGACGTGTTGGGCGATATGGAGCAGGCTCGACTACAGAGTGTGATGTTTCGCTGCTTGTGTGCCCGTTCGAGCGAGATGCTGGACATTCGCTGTGGTTTTCTATGCACCCGGCTAACCAAGTTTTTGCACACGTCATACTGGCGTTCCAGTCTAAACAGTCGTATGGTTTCTCATTGTCAGAACTTTTGCCGTCCCCCGTTTCAAATGTCAGCATGTACTGCTCGACCATGACGAGATGAGCCTACCGTTTGTGGGCTCGCAGAAGATGTTCCAGTCTTGAGTGTAAGGATGTGAAGTAGCTCTAAATTCCAGTAATTTGGCGCTTGTATCTCTGTAAGCACTCAATCTGTACTTCGTTGAAACCTGAACGTCCTCGTAACCTAATGCTGACATGCTCGGAATCTCATCCCAGAAAATGCGACAGAGTTCACATTTCTCGAGAACGGAGCGCTGCAAGCTCTGAGCGGAGCCATGATGCTCAGTATATCCTAGAGGAAATGAACCTCGGAAGATGTCTAGGCAAGCATCGCATAGCATAGTGATGGCTTGCGGGAAGTGACGATCGATTTCGAGATAACACTGAGGCCAGAATTCGGCTACATTAGTCGAAGGTAGGTATTTTGTTACGGAACGGCGTGTTGTAGTCTGGAAGAGGTGTGTTGTTGTTGAAAGGAAGGAGAGGAAGGCGCTGATGGCTGCCTAAGCGGGGTCAGCCACATCAAGAAAGAGCGACTACCCATCCCCGTCTCTCATGTCAACATGCCTTCCATACCACTCAAGACTTGAACGATATAATCCGAACCGCTCGCATTCGCGGCCAAAATATTTCCCGCATCCGAGTAGACTTCTGTCACTCACAAGTCAAACCTTATACCTAGCGTCCTACGCCCTTGCCTCAGGCTGATGCGACGAACCCACCTTGGCAACCGCCACCCGTCTCCGCCATCGTACGACATCGTACATCAATTTACATTACAATCAATGCGCCAATCACTAATCATCTCCTCTACTTGGAACAGCCTTTCCTCGGAACAATCGATACCGGTATACGTAATGGTATTCATTGAGGGGTATATTTTACGCTATGCTACGCTACGACAGCTACAAGAAAATCTGTAGTGGGGGATATATGTTACAGAAAATGGCTCGCTCAGTGCATGTTGAAAGTGGGAGGAAAGGCGTGTGTGTGGGTAAAAAAGATGTGATGGAGCCCGCGGAATACTTCCTGCCATCGAGAGAAAAGATCGTGGGACGCCGTCCGTGTTGTTGCTCATTATGTCTTTACGCGTCCTGTGCGCGAAAAGGTTCCTCCATTGCGACATTGTATCGTCGTGTGGCCGTCGTCATCTCCTGCCGTTCGGTCCCCATGGTGGCTGCTTTGTGCTGTCTCTGGGAAACAGTCCATAGTTGTTGGCGTCTGGCGCCGCGTTGCCCCAATTGCCGACGCTACTTGTTCGTTTACTTCGTGTAGGTTGTCGCGTGATGTTTCCGGCCACTTCTTTTCTGTTGATGTTGAAGACGCTTGTAAAGCCAAGGACTTCGGGTCGGTCGAGGTCGAAAGGATCCGATTGTCGGACCGTACGACCAGTTGGCATTGGGGTGAAGAAGTTGGTGGCGGGCCTGCTCGGTCCTGGTTCTCCGAAGAACATATCAGAGTCGCGAGAGGCGAACGTGGAGGTTGCATCCACGGTCGATAACGCGTTGAAGCCTGGTAACGCCATTGATGAACGGCGGGTATGGCTTGGGAGAACAGCCTGGCTGGGGGCAGGCGGTGCATAAGGTGGATCTCGGAACGGGTTGTCGGTCGTATAGAATGAGGACACGGGATGTGAGCTCAGGGCCGATACTGAACTTATAGTACGTGTATGATGATGAGTCGGTACTTGAGCCCAAGCCGGTGCAGCTCCAGGTGGATCCTGGATCGATGCGAAAGGATCTCTGGGTTCCGTGTCGGCAGCAGCAACAGGGACCTGCGGTGTGACAGGCGCGCTTCGAGGATCCGGGTTGAGTACCAACAGCGTGCTTTTTGGGTCGGCGAAGGGATTTGGTGAACCTGTGTCTTCGACGATTCCTGGAAATCGGTAATTTGATGAGATGCTGCTCGGCTTCTTCCGGAGCAGATTCCTCTCGCTCTTCTTGCTTGACATGCTGTTACTGGAACCTGCGCGCTTGACACCGAAGAATCCTTGCGGCTCGCTGGTTGATCGACCTCTGCCATTGGAGTCCCTCGAATATACCGAACCAACGCTGGCTTGCGCAGCATGGCGTTGGTAGGGATTGCTGATCGGGCCGGATTGGCTTCCTTTAATCCTGGCAACGAATGCGCCCACCCCGCTGGGTATCGTCTTTAACCTGGCCAGGAAACTCGGGCCTGACTCTTGCTTCTCGTTCCATCGCACGGGCCGGGACTTCCGTTTTCGCAAGCACACGAAGAGCAATACGCTAATCAAGGCCAGTCCAGCTACGCCGCCAAAGACACCCCCGATTATGCCTCCTATGTTTCCACCGTTCGCAAAGGTCAACGGGCTGTTGTCGCCAGAGTTTCCTTGTTCCGGTGCAATTATGCCAGCCGATCCTCCGGTCGGTGTAGAATCTACTAGCGAAGTAGTGGGTTGTGGTTCTGCGATAGCCGGCGCTTCTGTCACAGACGGTTGTGCATTCGTGTCGGTTTCTATCGCCAGCGGAGGGCTCGCGTCCGATGTGGCACCTTCGGATATCGCCGGAGCTGTGAAGCGAGCCGGTGCGCGCGAAGATGCAACGAGTGACGTTGGAACAGCTGTTTGTTCTGTGTCAGAAGTTGTTGGTATGGGACTTGGAGGCGGAGGCGGAGCCGAAGACACCGCCACAGCAACCTGTGAAGCCGCAGCAGCTTGCGAAGACACAGCCAGAGGAACAGCAGCGGCCGGAGAAGACACTTCCGGTGCCGCTTGAGTTTCTGGCTGCTTCTGAGCCGCTGCCGTTGCACGGGCTGACGATGGGAGAGCCAGCGGTGTCACCCGCTCCGAAGATGAAGGGGCCGGGCTACTCGTACCTATCGCGGACGTTGCTGCTGCTTCCGTCGTAGATGTTGTAGGCACTGCGGGGGGCGGCTGTGCTGTCTGTTGGGCAGACGTAGTCGGCGCTGGTGCCGGTGCCGTCGAAGAGGGAGGAGGTGGCGGAGGAGGTGCTTGGCTGGTGCTGGTCTCTATCTTGGGTGCCGCCTCAACGGTCGTGGACGAAGTGACTTGGGGAGGGGCGGCGGCTGCGGATGTTGCTGGAGTCGTCGAGGTTGTAAGGGCCGTTCGGGCCCGAGAACGAGTGCATCGTCTCCCGTTTACCGTCGTAATGGACTCTTGAGGGGTGGCCATGCGAGCAGTAGCTCATGGAAAGAAACGCCGACAAGGGCTCAGAAAGAGAGACGAAGAGAAAGGATACAAGGCGCCGCGGACGCTTTGTGCATATTAAACTGGGAAATTGGAGTTTACCGCTACGTGATGCTGAATGAATGGTTAACGAAGAGAGGTGTTAGTAGGCGTTCGAAGAACGGCCGGGTGGTAGTCAACCGTTGGCACAGTATGGTGCGCTTGTATCCGTCTGAAACGCGGGCGGCTTCACATCGCGCTTCGAACAATGCACATGAAGCGCGCTGAGCCTCGCACACTTGAGCGGCACCGGCCTGGCCGTCTCAGCCGACTGCCGTGCCGCCCGACAAAGCACTCTGGTAGCCATTCTCGCGGACGCGATGACATATGTGACGATGCGCGATGGGGTTGGATGGAGTGGAGTGTTGGAGGCTGGTGCTGGTGTTGCGCACCTGGCAAGCAGGGCGTCCTCAGCACGTGACTGAACACGAAAAGCAACTCGAAGATGGAAAATACTTCTGTTCGACCTCTCGCACCTTCCAAATCGCTGAGAAGCATCTTCCTGGTCTGCCTTGTCATCCCATGATTCATTTGGCCCCAGTGGCACCACTTGACAGTCGCCTTCGGGGTAATGCATGAACGTGCTCTTAGAGTTTAGGTGGCTACGCCGCGCGTGGCTTGCGGAGAAGAACCGTCACAATACTCATGTCTGGTTTTCCTGAAGATTGATATAATGCATCAATATCGCATGCTCGCGCAAAGCTCTAGCAGAGAGTCGCTGGTGGGTGTGGAGACGTTGTTGCGTTGGGTGCGCACGTCCGGTTTGAAGATCCGCGGCCCTCGCTCGACTTCGACATCCATCGCCGATTCCACCACGCCCCTAAGCATCACGGTCCTCGTACCACGACCCTGTGATAATGTTCAGCTTCAGCGGTGAGTATTCTTCTTATTGGTTTGTTCTTGGTTCATTGCCGGCGTCTCTTCGTCTCGCGCAGAGGTCTTGTCTGCCCGCTCGAAGTGGACCTCGGGAGTCTACTCCAATCACATCATCTCGAAGCTTGGTTTACGATGGCATCTGAAATGGCCTTCCAAATCCGCATACATGTTTTCTTTCTTCTCGGATTCAGCTGCTTGTTGTGGTAGCTACTTGGCATGCTTCTGTCAGTCAAGTGGGTATATATTCCACACATGTTTCGTCTGAGACGTGCGGCGCACGTGCAATATTGTTGCTGATATAGGACAACTTGTTCATAGGCAACCTACTTGCGGGGCAGCATGATACGCAGAAACAGAGGTCGCCACCCTCGAAACCGACACCCGTCAAGTTTCCTTCCCTTGAGCCGCCCGAGCCGTCAATAAACACGTTGCCAGCCACCTGGACCCAACCAGGAGCAAGGATATCAGAGCACTTTTTGCGACTCAAGAAGCCGTCTGATGTGAGTGAAGAGACCTTGGCCCAGTTGAATGTCACGTTTCAGCCCCAATGTGACTTGGAAACATTATTGTCATCCTTGCCAAACAACGCAGAGTCGTCCCTGCCCCCAACCTCTTGGTTAGAATCACCGGGAGAGAACGACGCCGCAACCAGTTCTGATACCCCGGCCACACTCTTGAGCAATGGCAGAAGAGTACCAGATCAGAGAGAGTTCTATGTCCGAGCGAGAGAACTGTTCTTCAAGAACGCTGATGCTTACTCAACACTCACGCGCAAGAGTGTTGGAGATCAACCACAGCTTCGACTAGCGCATTTCCGAAAGTTCTGGGAAGGTCTTGACAACTTGGCTTATTACTGGGATACCTCACTAGACGAATATCTCCCGCCAGTGCAAGAAGCTGGCAGTGCTAGCGGAGAGGCCGTGGTTTCAAGCTCCCCGCAAAAGTCCACAGATGCCCAAAGTCAGGACGCCAAACGTGAAACTGATTCGAATCGAATATCCACAGCGAGGCCAGGGTCTCGCACGCCTGAAGAAGAGGAACCTCGCAAGAAGGCCAAGGTTGAAGATGCTGAAAGTGGACATCGACCAGCCGAGGTCCAAGGCGCCAATGGCTCCAGCGCCGCACCAGTGAGTGCACGTGTGCCGTCAAATACTCCCAACCGCATACTACCAGCTCGGGCTGCACCACCCAAGGCCCCTTGGGCCGTGAATATGGAGTCTCAGAACAAGGTAGTTGATCTCTCAAACGGGTCTTACCGAGGCTATCGTATCGGGAGTGGTGCCGAGATGCCTGATCAGTACCGCATTGATTGTGTGCGTGCTTTCATAGAGCCGATTGCATGGGCTTTTGGTGTGACACTCTCACCACACCGCCGTCCTCCCGTCCTCACAATTGAGCACATTAGATTTCCTGTTCGCATGAGCTCTGTCGCTTGGCAAGCACCTCAGGATAGGGCTAAGGCCAGGCATGGCTATATGGAAGGTCCGGTATTGGGGATACAATGCAGGGCAGACGTTGGCTTTGGACTGACAGGAAACCTGAAGAAGCAATCTAATCTTGATGCTGTGCGCGAGTTAGGTGGGCTGCTTTTGCTGGCACAAGAGAGAGCTAGAGAGGGGAAAGCTGAACGAAGAGGTGGCGAGGATAGATGGTGGACAACAAAGGAGCGGTGGGGTGGAGGACCCGGGGGCGAGGTTGGCGAAACAACTGGGGCGATCGAAATACTGTCCAAAGATGCAGCGTCCAAACCTGAAGCAAAACCCACCGACAGGAATCGTGACGGATCCAAGGCTCGCCGCAGGCCGTCACCAGCAGAGATTTGGAAAACGTTGCGACCTGGAAACCCACTGTGGGATCCAAAAGTGACCTACAAGGCCATCGGCAAAGACAAGAGTGTTGAGTGGGACGATGTAGGGCTTCGTGCTACAGCTCTAGGAAGCTCATTCCGCTGATCCGACAATCTAGGTCTTCATGGTATCGTCATTGAACCACCACATCAGCCTGTTAAAGCTACGCATACATCCGGCTTATCTTGAGTACATCACCGAAGGTAGACTGCCCAAAGAAGCGCCAACAGACTCCGACTGGTTTTCCCCAAAACTGCAAAGAACAAGATGGTTCGATCTGTTCAACGTTGATGACCGTACTGAGGCGATGAGAGGCATCTGGGGGGTAATGGCCTATCTCATGCGCTCAGATAAGACTGATCACGCTGATTCCGCTGGTATTGCTACCAAACAGTGATAGTTCGCTGTCACCGGTGTGGCTCTTACTGAAGGGACTGAATGACCAGTATGGGACGATGTGGACTTGTGAACCTCAAGCCCCGAGGTCTATACTAGAATCCCATCACTTCCAAAGACCGGAGATGCTCGGGGCGTCTGGGATAGCGTACAATTCTTCTACCTATTCACGACCTAAATTGTCCCCCAAAACTATCCTGTTCGGTTTCCCACTCTTCAAGTCATTTACATGAAACGCTGAGCTAGATCCACGAAGGCCAACTTGTTTGGTGCCACAATCAATCTAGAGCTACACCTTTGCTGCGCTTGCTCCGCGACCGATTCTGACCTGGACGAAGTATCTCGCGATTGTGATACTAGCAAAACATTTCTCTTCGTGGTAAGTCATTTCTCCAACGCACTCAAAGCTGCACAGCAGGATACACAAGATATTGCGCAACGATGCGGGCATCTTTTTCTCAAACTCGCGTCGGGCTAACCAATCCCTGCACACCAAAGCATAGCCGCCCAAGACGGCAAAGCTAATGCAACGAGGCCACAACGTGACTGGCGCGTTGTGTTTCTTCCACAATTACACGCACATCTGTATTGCCGTTGGTCGAAACTTAGCGTTTGAACGACCAATGGCGCAATCTTCTAGTGCGACCGTGTCACTAAGAATATCGACGTTCCTCCACCAACAATCTTGACTAAGCTCCGCCTCGTTCGGTAGAACTGTGGCGCTTTTAGCCAGTCTGTACCCAAGGGGCGCCTGACGCAGCCATGTAAGGCGCCTGTCAGATTTCGACGTATTTTTCCGCTTGATGGTAGCTCTAATGCTGTTGGGCCGCACAAGGCCTACGACCATCGACTGATATGCAGCACCACCCTGGACCCACTCATCCCCAACAGCACGTCTGCGACCTCCAAGAAATTGCACAAGCTTCAATCTGTTACACTGAATCGGCGTCTCTTCCCAAGTAGAGGTCGTATCAACAGATAGCATGTGATAGAGGAAGCTCCATCACACACCTACGACCACTTCTCGTTACAAGCGAGTTTGCACAAAAGCTGCAACTTGCCAGTAACAGTCGGAGAACTCAACATAGCAATCTATCACATCCCCTTCTAGTTAAGCTACGCCACGCGCTATGTTGACCCCGGTCCCTGGTCGGATGCGGCCGCACACATGGTGCGAATCTCGAGCATCGATCCGTAAACCGGGTTTGCAGGCAAGTGAGATGTACCTATGTACCTAGGTACCTTACAGAAGCAGCAACACCCGGGGTCGGACCGCTTCTCACATAATCTTCACGATGTATTATATGCAGCAATCACCAGCGCAGCCCGTCGGAAGCAACAGTGCCATCAACAAACATTTTCGGCTCAGACGAGGAAATTTTGACAGCTGGTCACGACACAAGCTGGGACGGAATGGCGCTCCATAGTCAGGAACGCTCCAATGACCGATCAACCTTCCTAGCGACGCCTCCACCGGGCAAGAGTAACAGTGGCTTGAAAGCCTACGACGATGAGCAAGACAGAGCGGTCAGCAGTCCAGTCTACCGAACACGCCCTGGCCCTCCGTCTTCTCCACTGCAGCGAGTCCCAGCCTTCCATGCGGCCGCCTGATCTATATAAGTCTGCATGCATGACTTGGATAGACGGCATCGAAGTCGATAAACTCCACCACTTGCTTACTACAATTTACCCATCAACGCAACTCAGCCCCAAAGTCAGCACGCCTTATTCCGTCTCTCTACCCTTGTCGATACGATCGATTGCCTTGCAGTTTCCCAGATCTATCAGCCCCACTTGACAACATCACGTCCTGTTGTTCGATTGTCG